AATAAGCACTGAGAATGTTATTATATATTCTCTCAGTGTGAGAAAAGTCTCTTCACACATGATATTTCAGATAATTGAATAAAACTTCTTCTTTCACAGATTTGTATCTATTTCTCTTAAGAGATCTGAGAGTAATGCAGATATTTATATGAAATTCTTGATGAATCTGCAGTAGTATGAGACTAACTCAAGAAACTGTTATACATAATATACATTTCTCAGCCACAGTCAATTCACTATAATATTCAATTTCTTCAGAATGAGATATATACAGTCATCACTCACTACATGTTCTATAAACTTTAACTCTTTCATTTCAAACACACACTTGATTAATTTAATGTAGAGCTTATACTCTGTCAGAGTTATAAGCACTTTATTAAGATACTTCAGATATTCATTATATGAGTTTGAAAAGACTAGAATGTTATTAAGATATACAAGATATAAGATTTCATTCTGTTTATGAAGAATTATATTCATCATTATTTAAAAGATGACAGATGCATTTATCAGACTGAATGATATTATCAGAAATTCAAACTTCTCTCATTGTATATTAAACACAGTTCACAGAACTGACAGTTCATCTACATGAATCTGTCAGTATTCTGAGAGAAGATCAATCTTTAATAGATATCAGGTATTTCTAACTGTATTCAACTGTTGTTGAATCTGTGACAGTGAATATTCATTCTTGATCATAAGCTTGTTAAATGCTTGATAATTGATATATATCTGCTACTTCTCACCCGCCTTTTTCACAAATAGAACTGAAAAGCCTCACATGCTTGATGAGAATTATATAAGATCATATTCTAGAAGATCTGTGATCTGACACTTCTGTTCTTCAAGATGTGTTTGTGACAGAGAGTACACATTCTGATTGACTGGTTTTGCATTCTCTGTGTCAATCTCATATACAAATCCTCATTCTAGCAACAATTTCAGTGAAAGATCTGTTTAAAAGACCTTCTTATGCTTCTTCAGAAGCTTCTTCATACACTGATTCTCTCACATATTCTTTATCTTGGTTTTCTCTTCTTTCAGATTCTGTATGATATACAGAATGCTTTCAGATGAGATCTTGCAAATTGTCCTCTTTACCTATTAATGTATAAGCAGATTTAATTCTTCTATATCAGAGACATGGAATGTCCTTCTCATATCAGTTGATAGAATCATATGAATCATTTTCTTTCTATCAGTCAACTGTATATGATATGTACATCATTGAATCTGCGGATTGAATCTTTGAAATCAATTGAGTCTGAGAATAATGTTATATTTCACATTCTGCAGCTCTCGCGCTCAAATATAGCAAGATCATTCTTCAAAGTACAAGAGAACTCTTACTCTTACAGGTGATATCAAATATCAGTTATTAGATAATCTTATGTATCAGAGATTCTTCACTCAGCAGACCTCTTTCAATCTTCAGATTATATAATCATTAATATATTGTGTAGAAGCTTCTGTGTTCACTAACACTTTTACAGTCATCTCTCAATTCTTACTCAAGTGCTCTCTATACATTAACATTTCAGGTTCTAAGACATTGAGATGAGTATTCACTTTATCATTCTCACTTACATCTCATTCAGAAGCCTGCTTCTTCTTTATATTCACAGAATTCAGAGAGTCATCTAACACAGGCATCTTTTTCACTTTGAAGACTTTTTATAGAATATCAGTGAGTGTCTTCAAGCTCACTGATTCTGCTAGTTTTTTGACTCTCTTGCTTCTCTTAACTGTGTACACTGAGTGTAATCTTTTGCATCATGATTTTAGCATCTGCAGTTGAAGCAAGCTTAATACTCATAATATCAAGATTTTCACTCAGAGAATTTCTTTTTCAGAGAATTCAGTGCTTTAGCAATGACATTCAGATCTAGATTCATTGCATCTGAGTGTGTGACTTGTGTCATAGAAGTCTGATTATTCATTCTCTGCTAAGACATACTCAATTGCAGTATTTTCTGTTATAATTGACTCACTTGTTTCTGTACAATAAGAATATTATATGCTTTCTTCACTGTATCTGACTGTGAGATTAAGCATTTTCATTCTACTCTCAACTCAGATGTAAGACTATGAATAAAGATCTGTAAACAGAAAGATGTTGAAAGCTCTTCATTTAATATGAGATAGTATAAGCTGAAGTATATAAAGTATAATATAAGATCACTCACTTATCTACACTCAGTGAAGTGTTTATAACACTTATCTTATATATTCACTTTCTCAAAGTTATACAAGATTCATTTGAAAAACTCATTTCATATTTATAAGAATGAATATTACTTTAGATCTATGAGATTCATCTTTTCATCAGTCATTTATAATGACTTTGCTTTTTTACATAGAAACACAGCAGATCTTAAGACTTGTTGAAATTCTGTTAACTATCTGTCTGTAAGTTCATATTCAATCTGATAATATAATCATATCTGACTTAGTCAGCTGATTGCAGCATTATTTTTTCAGTTATTATTGAAGCTTAATAACTCTGACAGATCTCTCAGCTTGATATATTTCATACTCAGATTCTCATTCTATGCAGTGATCTCTGATGATATGTATACTTCTGAAGAGATTGTAAACAATCATGATAAGATCTTCAGATTCAGTATAGTTATCTATCTGTGTAAATATTCAATCTCTCACTGCAGGCCTAAGATCTGATTTTCTCTATTCTTATTAATGATGATGATTGCATCAGTGAAGCTCTTTATAGTGAATACTTGATTCACAGTAAATGCTAATTATTGTTTGACTTCTGTCTCAGTCTGTCACTGTGTACACAAGATCTCAATCTCATTTAGAATTCTTGTACATATACAGAGCTTCAATTTCAGTTCAGTGATTTCAGCTGCTTTTCTTACTGTTTCAAGTAAACTCTCTGAGAGGTTCTGCATATCTTTCAGTTCAGATAGTAGAGAAGAGTGTTATTCATATTAGCTAGAGAAGGTATTCATTTCAGTGATTTCTCATTGATTGTACAATGTCTATTATTATATCACTGTATCATTATCACTATATTGTTATATCACTATATTGTTATATGATTTCTGTTATCATTGTACAACTCCGGTGATAGCCACTTTCTTCTTTTTATCCTTCTTTTGAGTAGGAAGTGAACTTCTTTGAATCTGGTTCATCACTCTCATCTCCTTTCTCACATCTCATTCATTCGCATACATGGCATTCGCCTGGGCATGGAGTTTTCCCTCAACAAGTGAAGCAGTATCAATCAGATGCTCTTTCACTTATCACTCTTTGTATGCTATCTTTTGAGACATTCTAGAACCATACTGACATGATAACTATAAATTACTTCATAGACAGAATTATCACATTCTGAAGAAGCCTGCACTTCTCACCAGTTTTTAGACATGCTATCAGATGTGATTCAAAGATTGCTTAAGCCAGTATATGATTACAGGTGTACACCGGCTTCTTATATATTGTAATATTGTACACTAATTTAATTAGCAGCCGCTATGACCCCTTTACACTCGTACATGTACACTAGTAGTTCGGAAGCGGCCGCATACGCTAGTAGTTCGGAAGCGGCCGGGTTATTATCCGACGGTCGTACGTTCTTCCGAACCATATATAGAAGAATTAAATCTGCTTACACATTAATAAGTAAAGAGAATAATTTATAAGATCTCATTCAAAAGCATTCTGTATATTATATAGAATCTGAAAGAGAAGAAAATTAAGATAAAGAATATACAGAAGAATAAGTATATGAAGAAGCTTTTGAAAAAGTATGAGAAGATCTTCTGAACAGATCTTTCATCAGAATTGTCACTGAAATAAGAATTAATACATGAGATTGACATAGAGAATGTCAAATCAGTTAATCAGAATGTATATTCTCTGTCACAAACATATCTTGAAGAATAGAAGTATGAGATCACAGATCTTCTAGAATATAATCTCATATAATTCTCATCAAGCATGTGAGACTTTTCAGTTCTATTGTAACGTGGCGGAACCGAAGCGGTGGCTAGTCAGCGGTGTCACATAGAAGTAGTTGTTTGAGAAGCTGTATGAGTGAGCTTGACTATCTTGCTTGAATAGTGAGCTTGTAGGCTACAAGGTTATTGTGAGAATATCACAGATATAGTACTTAGTATACTAAGAAGATTGTATGAGACATGCAGTAACTCTCATATATATTTCAGTAGAAGAAAAATGAATTGCTGACTTCTTTGATAAGAAGCCAGTATCTAGCTATTCTATATAGACAATGAGCAGATACTCTCCTCTCATTCCATGAGTGAGAATAGCTGAAGTGATACCTCAGCAGTGTCTCATTGTCAAGGAAGAGTAATCTGCTGACCTCATATAAAAGTGAGATTCTTATATTCATCAATCAGATCTTCCTATGATACATCTGAATAATGTCATAGAGTGGTTGAAAACCAGTTCAGATAGGATGAAATCATTCACATGAAAGTAATGAGCTGTGTAAAACCATAACAGGGTCTTGACATGGCTGAGAGCATGACAATACTCTTTTCTTTAAGAGCATAGTCTCTATGCTCTCAAGATTATCAGATTAGAAATTATCTTTGTTGTATAGCAACAGTTGTCAATCAATTGACAGTGCATATACTGCACATGATACAAAGAAATAGATGAGTTTTTCTGCTGACTGCATAGATCTTTCTTTTTTCATCATTATTCAAATCAAATGTGTGATAAGTGAGTTCCTTATATATTGATTTGAAATGTGAAAAACATAGTTAATAAGTGACTTACAGATCTTTCAATATATTTCATTCTACATATGAAATTCTCTGCAAAAGTGATGTGTTTTAGAGATAAAGCTAACAGTAGTGACAGGATTTTTTGAAAAGATTTCTCTCTCTGTGAAACATTTTTCTTTTCTCTCTCTCAATTACAACAGTGAGTGCATGAAAGTATTGTTCTTAAAGAATAATCAAGGACTTATTCTGATGTTTTCTAGTGAGTAACAAATGTCTTCATGATGCAGCAGCAGCCTTCATGACTGTCAAGAAAGCCAGGTTGAAGGTGGAGACAGCAGTGTCAATGAGCTGTGAGAGTATCACTCTTATTATCACATCTTCTCCTTCTTCTGCTTCTTTTGCAGCTGCAGCAGTAGTCACTGTGCCTTGCAGTGAGATGTTGTTTCTTCTGCTAGTCAGTTTATCTGTGTTCAGTCTGTTCTCTGCCTCTCTCATCACTGTTGCAACACTGCTTTCCCTCTCAGTCAATACAGTGGCATATGACCCTGTGTGGTCATTCAGAGAGAAGCTCAGAGAGAGCTTGGTTTCAGAGACAGTGACTCTGAGAAGCTCAATCTGTAATTTCTCTTTCATGACATGTCTGAGCCCTGCTCAGAATGCTGCTGAGTTGAGTTCACAGAATTCTGCAGTTTCTTTATCTTCTCTCTGTGAGAAGGCTTCAGTGCAGTCTCTGACCAGTATCACTACTTGTCTGCACTGCACTAAGCAGCTGAAGAAGAAGAAGATTTTATATACCTGTCTCTTCTCTCACTCTCATTGTTTTCATTGTGTCTGTAACAATGATTTCTGTCTTTCTGTAAGTATCATCTCATAGAAAGACATTGTGTTGATTCTGATAAGAAGTCTAGATACTCAAGCAGTACAGAGTGAGAATCTCAGAGCTTCAAGTATTAACAGATTCTGTCAAGACTGAGAAGATCTCTCTTACTCATCTGTAAAAGAAGATGAAAGTGTGAATCTCTGAGATGAAAAAACACCTCAGAATGACTGATCTCAAGAAGAAGTCAGTCAGCATCACTGTTGAAAGTATCACAGAGATGAATCACTGATTGAAGAGAATCTCACTTCAGTTGAAGCAGATAACTGAGATGCTTTGTAAGTTAATAAGTTAACACTTTCAGCATCTCTTATACTCTTCTACAGCATGCTCTTCTGTGACACTGCAGTGCTAACTTCTCAGCAGATAAAGATGCTGATGCTGGAGACTTCAATGATAAAGAATGAGTTTGATGAGAATGTAATTGTTGACAAGTAAACCCTGATTCCTCTTTTTACTTTTTCAGCAGGCTGCAGCTCTATTAGGTTAGCAGCGGCCCGTGGGTCAATTAATATTAATCTTTTTATTAATTTCAAATATTCCTTTCTTTTCTTATTAACTGCTTCAGGAATTTTACACTTGTGTAGTCTCATTAAACTTCTAAAAAACCCTTTGAGAGAAAATAGAAGAAGAGTGCTACAGAGTCTACAAGGTGCCAGTTCATCATCATGAGATCATCTCTAAAAAACTCTTTGAGAAAAATAAGAAGTCTTTAAGTAGTATTTCTTACTCAATATCTCTGATGTGTAATGAGACAGTCTCTACTAGCTGTCTCATAGCTTGCAATCTCTTTCTCAGCATTTTTCAAATACTTAAGCAGTTCTCATGAATTCTCTGACAATGAATATTCTTCTCATTTGACAAGGTATTGAAGCTTGTCATAATGTGTTCACTTATTCAATATTTTCTTCATAAGATATTCAGTATCACTCTCAATCTCAATGCTATTCAGCTGAGATGGCTCTGTCTCAGAGTGTTGCTTATAGAGCTTCAAATAGAAAATGTGAAAAACAGAATGAATTGATTTCAATTCTGTGAGTAATTTCAACTCATATATCTGCTTATTCACTACTCTTGTTACTGAGAAAGGTTCTAGTCACTGCTCACTGAGCTTCTTATATAATCTCATTATCTTGATATTCTTTGCTGAAAGTAGCACTTGATTCTCTATTAAGAACTTCATCAGAAGATATTTTTAATTATAGTATTTCATCTATCACTTCTGAGCATAGTGAATGCTTTTCACCACCTTCTCATGAATTTTGTTCAAAAGTTTCAATCTCACTTTTACTTCTAGCACTGAGAAATACTTCATTCTCTGTATCTGTCTGACATTCTGACTGTCTATTCTCTTCTTTGAAATATCATCTGCAACATCACTGAGTAATAAAGAATTATATTCATAACAAGCATAGAAAGAAGATATCTTTAAGATTACATTCTTTACATTATTATATGTGCATTTAGTGATCAGAAGATGTTTGAGTCAATCATTCTGATAATATAAATAGAACACTTAAAGATACTATTCTAGTGTCTGATTCTGGTGTTCAGTCTGATCATTGATCTGTGAATGAAAAGCAGTACTGAGAAGATACCTTATTATAAGATGATAGTAAAAAGCTAATCAGTACTTGCTGATGAAGAGAGATTCTTGATCTGTTATTAACAATTTCAGAGCACTGTGATTATGAATAATGATATCTAAAAACAGGTCAGTTAATTCAGAGGCTTTAATCTTTTTATGAGTAGAGATATATCTGATTATCTTTGTGAAGCAGTCAACAATGATCAAAATTGAGTCATATTCTTTGACTCTTGTTAACTTTGACAGGTCAACTATGAAATTCATTAATAGGTTCTGTCATGAGCTCTTTAAAACAGGCAGTGATATCAACTTGCTGTATTACTTATACTGCAGAATCTTTATTCTTTGACAGATATTATAAGTTTTAATATACTCTTTGACATCTGTCTGAAGCTTGTCTCAAGTGTATTTATATTTTAGAAGCTTCTCAGTCTTCTCTAATCTGAAGTGCCCTGCATGAGGATTATTATGATGAATTCTCAATAACTTCTGACACACCGCTCTACTATGAGAGATGAAGACTGAACTATTCAGCAGTAGAAGTTCACATTCTTCTAGTTATCAGTGACTTGATTCCTTAGTAATATCACCTCACTCAGAGCCTGTCTCTTTCAAGTTCAAATCAGATTCTTTCTTCTTCAACTTCTGAATTCAAGCTGCAGTAGAGATATCCCTCTTCTGTAACTTATCAATGAATTTCAAAAGTAGTTAAGTTGAAAGATTGTAGATCATTTCATTCTTTATCAATTCAATGATTGTAAGATATAACATAAGAAGCTCATAATCTTCAGTGTCAGTCTCTCACAGAGACTCAGGTTCTCTTTCATCTTCTATACTGAGTCGCGCAGCTGCCTCTCCAGTGTCATTTCCAAGCTTTAGAGAATCTTAACTCCCTGCAGCCAGCTTCTTCTACAGTGATGACAGAGATTCTTTTGTAGAATTCTCCTCTGCATTAATAATATTATAATCAGGCTGTCTAGACAGTGTGTCAGCAGGGTTAAGCTGACCTGAATGATATCAGATATAGAAATCATACTCTGAAAGCAGCTCTGCTCATCTGGCTTGATGTTCTATCAAGCTCTTTATTGTTAAGAAGTAATGCAGATTTGTATAATCAGTGAGAACTTACACTGAGTACTTACTACTCTGAAGATAATGTCATCAGATCTTAAAGAATTCAACAATTACTAACATCTTCTGATCATGAGTATCATACCTTCTCTGTGTGAGTGATAACTTCTTGAAGAAGAAGATCACTGATCTTCATTCACAGCATCTTGTAGACTTCATGAAAAAGTCTTCTCTCACAGACAATTCATTACCTGTTTTCTCAGAAGTGATTATTCCCTGATTCTTTCAATGTTGAAAGATCTTCAGTGTCAACTGTGAAAAGATTTCACAGATCTCATTCTCAGATGTATCAGTCTCACACTGACTGAGTAAGTCAGAATTAAAGTGATTCAGCATCATAACATCTGTGAAAGCTTGTTTCAATTCTGCAAATGCCTGCACAGTGTCTTGAGTGAGAATAAATGATTCTGTTTTCCTGTCTTTCACACTTCTCTTCAACAGATCTGTAAAAGAGACAGTAATCTGTGAATATGCATAGATGAATCATCTGTAGAAATTCGCAAATCCTAGAAATACCTGCACCTCGCGGTATGTCCGCGGCGCCAGCCAGTTCTCAATAGCAGAGACTCAGCTCCTGTCCATTGAAATGCTATTCATCTCAATAATATAATCTAAGAAATCAATCTCCTGCATGTAGAATAAGCATTTTTCAGTATTTGCATAGAGTTGATACTGTCTCAAGTGACTCAATACTTCTTGAACATGAATATTGTGTTCTTTCTTCATTTTTGAGAAGATTAGAATGTTGTTCAAGTATACTATACAGAAGATGTTGACAAGGCCCTGCAGTATCTCATTTATATAGGCCTGAAAGATGGCTGAAGTGTTACAAAGATCAAAAGATAAAACAAGATATTCAAAATTGCTGTACTTGATATGAAAAGTCATTTTTCAAATGTTGTCTTCATTAACTCTGATTCTATAATAGACATCTCATATATCAATCTTTGAGAACATCTTTGCTTCAGATAATCAATCAATCATCTCATCAATTAATGATAATGAATAGTAATTCTTAACTATCATCTTATTGAGGCCTCTGTAGTCTACACATAGGCATAGTCTACTATTCTTCTTAAATACAAAGAGTATAGATGTCTCTGCTGAACTCTTTAATGAATATATTCAGTTCTTTGATTGCACTTCTTCAAGATATTTGCACAGAACATTCAACTTCTTTACAGATAAGTTGTAAAGAGATCTGTATAGCACTGTTACACTGTCTTCAAGATGAATCTTATGTCACACCTTGATGTCAGAAAACTTCACTGCTTCCCTTTTCAAAAAGACATTCTTAAAATCTGTAAAGAGACATTGTGTACATCTGTCTTCAATGACAGATACTGCTGCTAATCTTGCAGTGAGAATGATGACTTCTTCATCTGTTTTCAAGTCTCAATCATCTGCTACACAGTATATCAACTCAATCTTTTTCTCAAGATTCTTCTGATGAAACTCTTCAGATTCCTCTATCACTGTCTCTTCATCAGTGAGACAGTACTGTCACATCTGAGTGACTCAGTTAATGAGAGGATTGTTTTCTCTCAATCACAGAAGATCTAGAATGACATTCTCATCTATGATATTAACTGTGTGAAGAAGCAGACTGCTCTTCTTAAAGGTTTCTTCTGAGTCTGTGATCACATACTTTGCTTAGATTATGCTAAAACAGTAGTATTTTGTTTCATCTGTAAATTTCACATGGCCTGACAGATCTATCTTCTTTCAATTCTTCATCAAAGAAAAGAAATAGAATATGAAGTTAACATTCATTCTGAAGTTGAGTAGGCATCTCACTAGTATCTTCTCATTCAGAGTATGCATTGTGATTGTAACATGAACTCAGAAATATGAGAATTATCAATTCTTTTCTTTCTCTTCTTTATCTTTCACAGATACATTTGTCAGAAGAGGAGTTAACTTTGAGAAGATGTCTTCTCAGTTTCTTCTCTTCTTCAGCTTCTTACAATCACTGATATAGTGATTATCAGCTTCACAGTTGAAACAGAGATCTTTGTTAAATCTTTTTTAGCATTT